GAGGAAAGTGAAGTTCAGGAGGGGCGTTAAAGAACATCTCTGAGCTAGTAAATGGCAGAGTTGAGGTTCAAACCCTGTCTGACTCCAAAGTCTATATGAATATCACTGGTGGCCATATCTTAGCTAGGACAACAACTATAACTTACAGAGAACTATGCAGCTATTCTTCTTCATTGTCAATGTAAGGGCTTGGAATTTATATATATGCTCAAGAGTAGTGTTTCAGGAATAAAAACATGTATATTGTATGGCAGCAGACATCTAGACTTACGTCAGTTCAGCAGATGCTAAATACTAGTTATATGCCATATATACACATATATACATAGCACTGGAGAAGCAGCGATGAATAACATAGTAATTGCAGTCATGGTCAAATAAGGGAGGCGCATGTAAAAGTATAACTCAGAGTGTGACAGCTGTAACATAACAAGAGTGTGCAAGCTGTAGCTTGGGCACAGAGAAAAGGGTGATGGATTCCAGGATGGGAGTCCATTTTATTTCCGTTTTGAAAGACAAGGAAATTTGCCAGGTGAAGAAGAACTTTGCAGGCAATGAGAACAGCAGGTAAAAATCCATAGAGTTACGAAACAGCAGGATTATGGAAGAATCTACATAGAGAGCAAATCATTGTTAGAAATGAGGAATAATTGCAATTATTGTCCTTGGTGTCCATTTATGTGACCAGATTCTTTTTTTTTTTTTAGTTTTCTCTCTGCGGTGAATGATTTGACCTCTGATCTTTTTAGTGCCAAATCCAAAAATGAAGAACTCAAGCTTGAATTGGCAAAACTTGAAAAAAAATTAACTGCAAGTTTAGTATTAGAAAAATGTCTACGAGAGTAAGTAACTGAATTGGAAATGGTGACAATTTTTATTAAAAGGCAATAATAGCCGAAACCGGTTTGGCTCAGTGGATAGAGCGTCGGCCTGCAGACTGAAGGGTACCAGGTTCTATTCTGGTGAAGGGCATGTACCTGGGTTGCGGGCACATCCCCAGTGGTGGTTGTGCAGGAGGCAGCTGATCGATGTTCCTCTCTCATCGATGTTTCTAACTCTCTATCCCCTCTCCCTTCCTCTCTGTAAAAAATCAATAAAATACATTAAAAAAAAAAACAAATAACCTGGGTTTGTTCATTTTTTAAATGTATGTGAATTTTCTTTTTTTTTTTACTTATACATTACAAGGCAACTTAAAGTGCATTATAATTTGTTGCTCTTTTTTTTTTATTTTTTGCGCTAGTGCTCTACCATCTCTCTTGATGCTCTGGGTCTTTTTTTAGGTCCCTGTTGTCCCAGAGATTAGATGCTATGGATCAGAAATATGTATATGCATACATAATTTGGCAGTGTGTAAATTTATTCAATAAATATTGACTGTTTATATGCAAGGCACTATGTTATGTCACATGCAGGAGAGAGGCCTTTTGGGATCTCCATAATTCAGATTGGCTTTAGAGTATTTTTTTTTAATATATTTGTATTGATTTCAGAGAGGAAAAGAGAGGGAGAGAGAGATAGAAACATCAATGATGAGAGAGAATCATTGATCATCGATCCCGACTGGGGATCAAGCCCGCAACCCAGGCAATGAGCCCTGAACCCGGGAATCGAACCGTGAATCCTGGTTCATAGGTCAATGCTCAACCACTGAGCCACGCCAGCTGGGCAGCTTTATGGTATTTTTAGTCACTTTTTTAAGCAGCAGATTTACTTTAAGAATAATTGGCATAAATTAACCTTAAAATTATTTCATGTTTCTTGAAATAATGTTCATGTTAACCCCAGATAACAACATGGAGGGAAGGATGCCCTAAAAGAATGCCTGTTAATTAGTCTGGAATATAAATTTTATCGTAGAAAATTCATCAATTATGTTATCTATTGTCTAATTCAGAGTTGAATCCAAAAAGTAATTGAGTTTTTCTTTTTAATAATAATTTCACTGAGGAGAAAAAAATGTTTCAATTTTACTTTTTAAAGCGATCTCAAGAAGTCAGAGTTGCAGCTGTCTACAGAAAGGGCCAAAGTTAACAGTCGCCTTCAGAACATGGACTTCCTAAAAGCAAAGTCAGAAGAATCCAGATTTGGAATCAGAGCTTTAGAGGTATGTATGAAGGACTGAATAATGTTAGGTCTCTTTTTGACCTTCATTTCACCACGAGGCAGTATTACCAATCCTTTTTTACAGACAAGGGGACTACAGAGAAGACCGGTAACTGCCCAAGATTTCATAGCTGCTTAGCAGTAGATCCAGAATCCCTTACAGGCAGCCAGGCCCCGAAGCTCAGAATCTTAAGAAGCACTGGGCCCATCCTATCACAAATCTGTGGCTCTGGAAAGATTGACATGCAACAAAAAACTGTTTAGACGCATGTTTCATCTGTGATTTGTAGCTTATCTTTACTGGATTACTAGGTGTATCAGTTAATAATTCGGATTTTGTAATCAAAGAAAACACAATAATTTCAAGAGAAACATCAAAGTGCTTTATTCAAAGTAATGTCCACCGCTAGCTACACATTTCCCCCATCTTTCAGGTAATTTGTGGGTACCGTCCCAATAGAACTTTTCTTGTTTTGAGGCAAACCATTCAGAGACCCAATTTTCCACTTCTTCGTACGTTTTGAAGTGCTGCTCAGAAAGTACTTGTGTCATCAATCGGAACAAGTGGTCATCTGAAGGAGCAAGGTCTGGTGAATACAGCGGGTGGGTTAATACTTCCCAGGCAAGATCTTTTAACGTGTCTTTAACTGGTTATTTTTGTTTTTTGTTTTTTTTTTTATGTTTTATTGATTTTTTACAGAGAGGAAGGGAGAGAGAGAGAGAGCCAGAAACATCGATCAGCTGCCCCCTGCACATCCCCCACCGGGGACGTGCCCGCAACCAAGGCACATGCCCTTGACCGGAATCGAACCTGGGACCCCTGAGTCCACAGGCCAACGCTCTATCCACTGAGCCAAACCGGTTTCGGCCTTTAGCTGGTTTTGAAGTGTGTGGTGGTGCATCATCTTGAAGCAAAATTACTTTGCCGTGTCTTCTGGCACATTCTGGTCGTTTCACGATCAAAGGGTGGTTCAATTTGGTTATTTGTTGTTGGTAGTGGTCAGTATTAATGGTTTCACCTGGTTTTAGAAGCTCATAATACACCAGACTTTCCTGATCCCATCCAACACAGAGCATTTTCTTCTTTCCAAAGCGATTTTGCCTTGCAGTCGATGTTGATGGTTGACCTGGATCAACCCATGATTTTGTGCATTTGGTATTCTCAAAATAAATCCACTTTTCATCAACAGTCACAATTCAATGC